CCACTACTATCATCTCTAGTCTTATCTTCACCACTATTATCATCTCTAGTCTTATCTTCACCACTATTATCAACTCTAGTCTTATCTTCACCACTACTATCTCAAGCACTCTTTTTCTTTACAGTAATGGGGGCGGTAGTCCTTCCTATGGTGACGGTGATGAGGCTTGCCGAATATTTTCCAATTTCAAGTTGTGTGTGTGGTAATCCAGAGGCATCCTGTCTCTCCAGTGTCAGTCCTCTTCTTATGGAGCTAGAGGATGTCACTGGCATTAGGGAATTTAGTCAGTATTGACATCACTAGCTTGATGGCTTTAAACTCAGGTCAGTACTTCACGTTCATTTGAGTATTCAGTAACGGTATCGTGAAATTTTATTCTTTGACTGACGGCATTCTTGAACACAAGGTTTTCTGATGGTTTGTCTTCTGAGAAAAATAACTCGGTGAAGGCTCCAAGATTTTTGTGGCTCCTCTCGTTGCTCCTGTTATGAGAGCTAGATTTTCCTAAAGGCAAACCTTTACATGTTTAATTCTTTTAGTTCTTGTTGAGGGGGCCGAGGTGTGCAAATGACATTTTCTAGGAGCTTTTTACTTCCTGGAGGATAGGCAATGCTTTAATTTGAAGCTGAGTAAGTTGTACTGCTTCTTGACATTGTTGATATTAATGTTATTTTGGAATTCTGTAAGCATCTCTCTTGCCCTTGCGACAGTAGTCATTTCATGGCCAAGTCCTAGTTTCAATGGAAAATAATCCCATTTTCCTACATTTTTTTTTTTTTTCAGCAAGTCGGCCGTCTCCCACTGAGGCAGGGTGACCCAAAAAGAAAGAAAATCCCCAAAAAGAAAATACTTTCATCATCATTCAACACTTTCACCTCACTCACACATAATCACTGTTTTTGCAGAGGTGCTCAGAACACAACAGCTTAGAAGCATATACATATAAAGATACACAACATATCCCTCCAAACTGCTAATATCTGGAAACCCCTCCTTTAGAGTGCAGGCATTGTACTTCCCATTTCCAGGACTCAAGTCCAGCTATATAAAAATAACCGGTTTCCCTGATTTTTTTTTTTTTTTTTTTCAACAAGTCGGCCGTCTCCCACCGAGGCAGGGTGACCCAAAAAAGAAAGAAAATCCCCAAAAAGAAAATACTTTCATCATCATTCAACACTTTCACCACACTCACACATTATCACTGTTTTCGCAGAGGTGCTCAGAATACAACAGTTTAGAAGCATACACATATAAAGATACACAACATATCCCTCCAAACTGCCAATATCCCAAACCCCTCCTGCATACTTTAACTTAAAAGAGCCACACGATCCACATCAAAACTCTTGCCCAATTTTAGTAGTCTACTTCCTATTCCATGTATAGCCTCTCCTAACTTAGCGACATACTCATTTACCGACAGCTCGGACTTACGACAGGCTCTCTGACCAGTATGCATACAAATAATGTATATTAGAACTGATTTTCTCTATCCTGTTTATTACAATATACAGTAAAGCCTCTCCCCACTTAGTGACGTACTCGTTTACCGACGCTCGGACTTACGACCAGCTCTCCAACCAGTACGTAAACCTATGTATATTAGAGCTAATTTCCTCTATTCTGTTTATTACAGTATACAATACACTACTGTATAAACATTTAAAAATATACTAGAAATGTTATAAATGGTGCAAACGTGACATTAAAAAATGTCTGAAGATGGCCGACACAAACCCACTACCAGTATAGTGTGCTCCTCGCTTAATGATCAATTTGCTTACTGAACTACTCTTAGGAATGGAACCCCGTCGTTAAGTGAGGAGAGGCTATACATTACTGTATAAACATTTAAAAATACAGTGGTCCCTAATAATCGTCCGGCCTGAAAGGCGTCCATTTTGGAAATAGTCCCATTATTTCGTCTAAACACTGGCTCGCAAATGGTCCATTAACTCACTAATCGTCCTGCGTCTGGGATGTGTACTCACGCTCTGAGCCGCCGGGGCCTGCCTTCCCAACCAGTATGCCATTGTTTACCAGTGAGTGACGGTCCCCTAACTTGCTCCTACGAAATATTTCATAATATTCCATTGATTTTAGTGCTTGGAAGTGCTAAATAAGCTACCATGGCTCCAAAGAAAGCTTCTAGTGCCAGCCCTTTGGTAAAGAATGTGAGAAACACATATAATTTATGAAAAAGTTTGGAGAAAAATACAAAAGTGGTGGTGGTGGTAGTGGAAGCAGTTGTGATAGTGGTTGATGGTGGTAGAGGGTGGTAGTGATGGTGGTAGAAGGTAGTAGTGATGGTGGTAGAAGGTAGTAGTGATGGTGGTAGAAGGTAGTAGTGATGGTGGTAGAAGGTAGTAGTGATGGTGGTAGAGGGTGCCTTCTTTAGTGATTCAGCAACTCTACCAACTCCTCCAATGTTGTTGGAGTTATGTAGGGCTACAGAAAACACTGCCGCCTCAGCTGCTGCTTCACGGCTTACTCTCAGTGGCCCTTATATACTCAACAACACAACACAACACCTCTCGTGACATACGTAATGACTTACTTTATTCATTCAGAGTATATTCCATGTTTCTATGTTATTAATATTGTTTATTATGTCATATTAGTTGAATTGTGATAGATAAATAAGCTGTAGAGTTGATATTAGTGTCATATTCTCCAACAATAAACTTACCATCCCTCCCTCACACAAACAAGTCTTCAATAAGAACATAAGAAAGGAGGAACACTACAGTAGGCCTGCTGGCCCATATTAGGCCGGTCCTTCACAAATTCAACCCACTAACAGAACAAATGCTACCCAAGCAATAAGCTCAGGTGCAAGTCCGACTCAAATCCAACCCCTTTCACTCGTGTATTTATCCAACCTAAATTTGAAACTACCCAAGCCATAGCTTTTAGAATATAAGAAAGGAGGAACACTGCAATAAGCCTGTTGGCCCATACTAGGCCGGTCCTTCACAAATCCAACCCACTAACAGAATAAATGCTACCCAAGCAATAAGTTCAGGTGCAAGTCCGACTCAAATCCAACCCCTCTCACTCATGTATTTATCCAACCTAAATTTGAAACTACCCAATGTTTTAGCTTCAATCACCCTACTAGGCAGACCGTTCCACTCATCAACTACCCATATTACCAATGTTCATTTATACATTTTATTAGTGCTTTACATTTATTTGGCATTCTTTTCTGCATATAAATCTATATTTATGCTAGGGAAGTGACCCCTTAAGTGGCCTAGAGTCCTTATGGAGGGGGATTCCCCTTCCAAACAATAACCTCTCTTCCATCTCTCCTCCTCCCTGTCTTCCATTCATCAACAACAGCCTTCAATAAAGGTAACTGTCATGTTGAATGTTCATTCTTTTGTGCATGTAAATCTATCTTTTAGGTAAAAAAAAAAATTGTTGTTGATACTTCTGGGTGTCTGGAACGAATTAATTGGATTTATATTATTTCTTATGGGGAAAATTTATTCGAAAATCATCTATTTCGATGATAGTCCCACTTCCAGGAACGGATTAAGGACGATAATTGAGGGACCACTGTATACTAAAAATGTTATAAATGGTGCAAAGGTGGCATTAAAACAATATCAAAGATGGTCGACACAAACTCACTACCATTATAGTATGCTCCTCACTTAGCAACGAATTCATTTACCAATGTGGTCTTAGGAACGGAACTCCGTCGTGAAGTGAGGAGAGGCTGTATTTGAAACATCTGCTACATGGCTCCTCTATCAACCCCATTAAATATGGGTAATAAATGAGTAACTGATAGTTCCTGCTTCATTTCTTCAATAACACACTACAGTGGACCCCCCCCCCCCCCCCCCCGTTATCGGCAGCTTCTGTTATTGGCCAACTTGGTGATCGGCCGGTTTTTCAGCACCCGGTTATCAGTTGTTAATTCGGTGATCGGCCGTTTGGGATGCGTCCATCCGCCAGCTGGGGCCGCTTGCGCATCAGTTTGGCTGTCTTTCAGTGCATGAGGGAGTTTCTGCTTATACATCCAAACATTTCGCTTGTTTTCCATTGTTTTTTGTGGTTTTTTTGCAGTGCAACCGCGAAATATGTAACCATGGCTCCAAAGAAATTTCCTAGTAAAGTTCCTGTGGTAAAGAAAGTGAGAAACACCATGGAATTTAAGCGTGAAGTGTAGCAGGCATGCAAAGAGTGTAGTAGGCATGCAGAAAGTGTAGCAGGCATGCAGGGAATGTAGCAGGTATGCTGGGAGTGTAGCAGACATGCAGGGAGTGTAGCAGGCATGCAGGAAGTGTAGCAGACATGCAGTGAGTGTAACAAGCATGCAGGGAGTGTAGCAGACATGCAGAAAGTGTAGCAGGCATGCAGTGAGTAACAGGCATGCAGGGAGTGTAGCTGGCATGCAGGTAGTGTAGCAGGCATGTTGGGAGTGTAGCAGACATGCAGGGAGTGTAGCAGACATGCAGGGAGTGTAGCAGACATGCAGGGAGTGTAGCAGACATGCAGGGAGTGTAGCAGGCATGCAGGGAGTGTATCACACATGCAGGGAGTGTAGCAGGCATGTAAGGAGTGTAACAGGCATGCAATGAGTGTAGCAGGCATGCAGGAAATGTAGCAGGCATTCCAGAAGCAAGCATTAGTCTTCAATAAAGGTATGTAATACTGATCTGATTGTTAAAAAAAAATTTTTGGTGAATATTTTTGTCTGGAAAGGATTAATTGTAATTACATTAATTCTTACGGGAAATGTTTCGGTTTTCGGCCATTTCGGTTTTAGGCCGAGCTTCAGGAACGGATTATGGCCGATAACCGAGGGTTCACTGTATTTACAAATCAGCATACAGTATATTTTATTACCTAAATAATATTATAGGAATAAATATTAAAAACAACTGTGCACCGACAGTTGAAATTTTAAATTAAGTTTTTTAAGGATTATTGTCCTGTGCTAAATTATATATCATTCAATCCATTTTCAAGTCTTATCTACCTACCTGTATGTATCAACTTGTGGGCCTTCAAAGAATTTGACTGAGTAAAACGAGCATGACAGATCTCACACTCATATGGTTTTTCTCCTGTGTGAATTCTTAAGTGTCTCTTCAGTTTGAATGTGTCAGGACTGGCATAAGTACAGTGCGGACACTGATATGGTCTCTCTCCAGAATGACAACGCATGTGACGCTTTAACTTGCTAAGTTCTACGCTGGCATAATCACAGTCAGGACATTTGTGTGGCTTCTCATGAGTGTGAATATAACGAACGTGCCGAACAAGTTCCCCTGAAAAATAAAAGAAAATATATTGAAGATAGTGAAAAACATAGTATACCTGGTACTAGTAAAGAATTTATAAGGAACAGTAAATAAATCCCCATCCATTATCTTCACTGACATTTCCATCAAGGAATAGAGTTTACATAAAGCAGGAGGGGTAGGAGCTGTCCCTGGAACAACTGGAGGCTTGGAGTTTTAGGGTATTGAGCATCTAGCAGGCTTGTGTGTGTGTTATACAGCAATGAATGAAGCAAGTGACTTCTAATGGACGTGCTGTTGGACTGTGAGCACAATAACGCTTATGGAGGAATCAAGAGGAAACTGGTTGGATGGACTAGAGTACTGGAGGTAGGAGGGCAGCACATGCACTCTGAAGGAAGGATGGGGATGTTGCAGTCAGAATGTAATAATAATTAATAACTTGGGACATTGCTATTCTGGAGAGCCTGTTCTGAATTGTGATGTCAGCACACTTCTGGTAAGACTGCAGGTGAATGAATGATAGTAAATGTATTTCCATCTTTGGGTCATCCTGCCTAAACAGGAAAAGGCCTTTGAGGGTAAAAAAAAAAAAAAGTGTTAATGTTGCAGTTTAAAAACTGTAGTGTAAAGCACCCTTCTGGCAAGACAGTGATGGAGTGAATGATGGTGAAAGTTTTTCTTTTTCGGGCCACCCTGCCTTGGTGGGAATCGGCCGGTGTGATAATAAAAAAAAATAATAAGAATAAATCAGGTAGCATAAACTCTCTTACTTGGTATTTTTCTGGGAAAACAAATAAAAATTAAAAAAATATAAGATATTTAAAATTATCCAAATAAATATCATAATTATGAATACTGATTTAGAAATTTTTTTTGCTGTGAATTAAAAATAGGATGGTATATAAATAGTTCTTCTCCTCCCCAGTTTCAAAATGTGTTACTTTGAATGTCAGTATAATAGTAAATCCAGAGTAAGGAGGGAAAGGGAGGGGAGAGAGAATTTTTCGGAATAAATAAGAGCACAATGGCCCTATTTACTTACATTATTACTCTTATTGCTGCATTGAATAAGAATACCAAAAAAAGAGTTAAATAGCAAAGCAAGATTACTTTCAATGAAAATTATACTTGGATTGAATTTTGAGCTATGGACAGTGCCAATATTCTAAAGATTGTACTTTCCTGAACAATACATGAATGTTCTCTTAACTTTTTATTTTATTATTATATTATCACACTGGCCGATTCCCACCAAGGCAGGGTGGCCCGAAAAAGAAAAACTTTCACCATCATTCACTCCATCACTGTCTTGCCAGAAGGGTGCTTTACACTACAGTTTTTAAACTGCAACATTAACACCCCTCCTTCAGAGTGCAGGCACTGTACTTCCCATCTCCAGGACTCAAGTCCGGCCTGCCGGTTTCCCTGAACCCCTTCATAAATGTTACTTTGCTCACACTCCAACAGCACGTCAAGTATTAAAAAACCATTTGTCTCCATTCACTCCTATCAAACACGCTCACACATGCCTGCTGGAAGTCCAAGCCCCTCGCACACAAAACCTCCTTTACCCCCTCCCTCCAACCCTTCCTAGGCCGACCCCTACCCCGCCTTCCTTCCACTACAGACTGATACACTCTTGAAGTCATTCTGTTTCGCTCCATTCTCTCTACATGTCCGAACCACCTCAACAACCCTTCCTCAGCCCTCTGGACAACAGTTTTGGTAATCCCCACACCTCCTCCTACTTCCAAACTACGAATTCTCTGCATTATATTCACACCACACATTGCCCTCAGACACGACATCTCCACTGCCTCCAGCCTTCTCCTCGCTGCAACATTCATCACCCACGCTTCACACCCATATAAGAGCGTTGGTAAAACTATACTCTCATACATTCCCCTCTTTGCCTCCAAGGACAAAGTTCTTTGTCTCCACAGACTCCTAAGTGCACCACTCACTCTTTTTCCCTCATCAATTCTATGATTCACCTCATCTTTCATAGACCCATCCGCTGACACGTCCACTCCCAAATATCTGAATACGTTCACCTCCTCCATACTCTCTCCCTCCAATCTGATATTCAATCTTTCATCACCTAATCTTTTTGTTATCCTCATAACCTTACTCTTTCCTGTATTCACCTTTAATTTTCTTCTTTTGCACACCCTACCAAATTCATCCACCAATCTCTGCAACTTCTCTTCAGAATCTCCCAAGAGCACAGTGTCATCAGCAAAGAGCAGCTGTGACAACTCCCACTTTGTGTGTGATTCTTTATCTTTTAACTCCACGCCTCTTGCCAAGACCCTCGCATTTACTTCTCTTACAACCCCATCTATAAATATATTAAACAACCACGGTGACATCACACATCCTTGTCTAAGGCCTACTTTTACTGGGAAAAAATTTCCCATACAAAAAGAGAGCAAATGCGAAAGTGGGTGAGATGTTATCAACAAATTTTGTTGAAAATAAGAAAAAGTTTTGGAGTGAGATTAACAAGTTAAGAAAGCCTAGAGAACAAATGGATTTGTCAGTTAAAAATAGGAGAGGAGAGTTATTAAATGGAGAGTTAGAGGTATTGGGAAGATGGAGGGAATATTTCGAGGAATTGTTAAATGTTGATAAAGATAGGGAAGCTGTGATTTCGTGTATAGGGCAAGGAGGAATAACATCTTGTAGGAGTGAGGAAGAGCCAGTTGTGAGTGTGGGGGAAGTTCGTGAGGCAGTAGGTAAAATGAAAGGGGGTAAGGCAGCCGGGATTGATGGGATAAAGATAGAAATGTTAAAAGCAGGTGGGGATATAGATTTGGAATGGTTGGTGCAATTATTTAATAAATGTATGGAAGAAGGTAAGGTACCTAGGGATTGGCAGAGAGCATGCATAGTTCCTTTGTATAAAGGCAAAGGGGACAAAAGAGAGTGCAAAAATTATAGGGGGATAAGTTTGTTGAGTATACCTGGTAAAGTGTATGGTAGTTATCATTGAAAGAATTAAAAGTAAGACGGAGAATAGGATAGCAGATGAACAAGGAGGCTTTAGGAAAGGTAGAGGGTGTGTGGACCAGGTGTTTACAGTGAAACATATAAGTGAACAGTATTTAGATAAGGCTAAAGAGGTCTTTGTGGCATTTATGGATTTGGAAAAGGTGTATCACAGGGTGGATAGGGGGGCAATGTGGCAGATGTTGCAGGTGTATGGTGTAGGAGGTAGGTTACTGAAAGCAGTGAAGAGTTTTTACGAGGATAGTGAGGCTCAAGTTAGAGTACATAGGAAAGAGGGAAATTATTTCCCAGTAAAAGTAGGCCTTAGACAAGGATGTGTGATGTCACCGTGGTTGTTTAATATATTTATAGATGGGGTTGTAAGAGAAGTAAATGCGAGGGTCTTGACAAGAGGCGTGGAGTTAAAAGATAAAGAATCACACATAAAGTGGGAGTTGTCACAGTTGCTCTTTGCTGATGACACTGTGCTCTTGGGAGATTCTGAAGAGAAGTTGCAGAAGATTGGTGGTGAATTTGGTAGGGTGTGCAAAAGAAGAAAATTAAAAGTGAATACAGGAAAGAGTAAGGTTATGAGGATAACAAAAATATTAGGTGATGAAAGATTGGATATCAGATTGGAAGGGAGAGAGTATGGAGAGGTGAATGTATTCAAATATTTGGGAGTGGATGTGTCAGCGGATGGGTCTATGAAGGATGAGGTGAATCATAGAATTGATGAGGGGAAAAGGGTGAGTGGTGCACTTAGGAGTCTGTGGAGACAAAGAACTTTGTCCTTGGAGGCAAAGAGGGGATGTTGAGAGTATAGTTTTACCAACACTCTTATATGGGTGTGAAGCATGGGTGATGAATGCTGCAGCGAGGAAAAGGCTGGAGGCAGTGGAGATGTCATGTCTGAGGTCAATGTGTGGTGTGAATATAATGCAGAGAATTCGTAGTTTGGAAGTTAGGAGGAGGTTCGGAATTACCAAAACTGTTGTCCAGAGGGCTGAGGAAGGGTTGTTGAGGTGGTTCGGACATGTAGAGAGAATGGAGCGAAACAGAATGACTTCAAGAGTGTATCAGTCTGTAGTGGAAGGAAGGCGGGGTAGGGGGTCGGCCTAGGAAAGGTTGGAGGGAGGGGGTTAAAGGAGGTTTTGTGTGCGAGGGCCTTGGACTTCCAGCAGGCGTGCGTGAGCGTGTTTGATAGGAGTGAATGGAGACAAATGGTTTTTAATACTTGACGTGCTGTTGGAGTGTGAGCAAAGTAACATTTATGAAGGGGTTCAGGGAAACCGGCAGGCCGGACTTGAGTCCTGGAGATGGGAAGTACAGTGCCTGCACTCTGAAGGAAGGGTGTTAATGTTGCAGTTTAAAAACTGTAGTGTAAAGCACCCTTCTGGCAAGACAGTGATGGAGTGAATGATGGTGAAAGTTTTTCTTTTTCGGGCCACCCTGCCTTGGTGGGAATCGGCCAGTGTGATAATAAAAAAAAATAATAAAATAAATCCATTTGTTCTCTAGGCTTTCTTAACCTGTTTATCTTACTCCAAAATTTTTTCTTATTCTCAGCAAAATGTGTTGAGAGTGCCTCACCCACTATCATTTGCTCTCCTTCTGCACTCTTTTCACCTTTCTTTTACTCTCCATGTACAGTGGACCCCCACATAGCGATATTAATCCATGCAAGAGAGCTCATTGTTATGCGAAATTATCGTTATGCGAATGAATTTTCCCATAAGAAATAATGGAAATCAAATTAATCCGTGCAAGACACCCAAAAGTATGAAAAAAAATTTTTACCACATGAAATATACATTTTCCTACACACAAAGAATAATATACAATATATTGCACAATATATATTGTGCATGTACTACTCTACTAAATGAAGAATAAATGACACCTTTATTGAAGATGCAGCAATGACTGATGAGACACTGTGTCCTGGGAGTACCTTTTCCTCCTGAGTACTGTAGGTCCTGTTTGGCATTTTCTTCCAGAACAGGCCTTATCACACTGTGTATGTCACTACG